TGACATCAGGTTACGTTATATTACTAAGCATTTGTCATTCTCTCATTATTGTGAACAGTTAGTATAGTTTTTCTACTAACTTTATATTCGAATCCTTACTCCCATCATTGGAAGAGATTAACAAAAATGGAGAGATAATAAAATGACTGTAATGAAATGAAAGGAAATAAACGGATATAACTTAAATGTCAGTTCAATTATCTTGAACACTTTCGGCTGACAAACTGATGGTTATTTATTATTACATTACTATTTCCTTGGGTTCCAAATGGAACATAGGTCTTTAACAACACGTCTTTATTTTGTCATGATCTCTTCAGTCCTCTTTAATTGGCTTCACGATGTTCCATAGGCTTTCATATCTCCTCTCACGATATTCCCCATGTCACTCTCGGACACGTGACTCATCGTCATACAACAGGCTTCTCAGTGTTTTCTCTATTCAGGTCGGGTATGAGAACAAACACTCCCCACAGATATCATTCTCCAGTTGTTGCGCTATGTCACGAATTGGCAGATATTGAAATTCACTGAATGGCCATTGGATAGGGTCCCAGTGGCTTAATCGTCTATAGGTTAGCCATGTAACCGGAAGGTCCTTTCTTCGGATCCTGGTGGTAAATATGTACTGTTGAAGAGTCTCAAACTAGGCTGGCAAAATAGCTGTCCAGTACCTTTAGTTTTTCCAGTAGCTCTCTAACCAATGTCAGCTCATTATAAAATCCTGTAACCATCTACATTTTCTCTGGCATAGTTGTTGAGCAATATGTTAGGGGCTAATTAAAGATAAAATGATAAGAAACCAGTCATTGTAAGATCGAAAATGATGTTCACTTCATTGAATTACTTGCCGATAAATAAAATCTTCTTTCAAAATTTGTCATTTCGCAACTTATTATTCAAACAATCCAAAATGAAAAAGTATATCATCCACATCCTTTGCATAAAAGTTTGAGGCCCATTGTCTAGTTCACTCGGCTTTTAGCCAGTGAGTCTCGAGTTCGAACGCTACCTCATCTATTTCAGCAAAAGCAACTGAATAGTAGCACCACCCTTCATACACTACGTGTAGCCCGTAGCCCGACGTATGAAAAATCTGTTCCGAGGGACTGAATTCTAACTGTAGGAGTCTGTCTGGGGGTGCAACGTGGTCATTCTGTTCAGAGTTATTAAATCTGACATAAATATTTTATTAAGTAGATTGCAGCTAAATATATCTAAATTATGAGTTAGATAACATGTTTGAAGTTATACAAGGAGAGTAATAAACATATTTTTAAATTCATTTAAGTCAATTTGAAATTCCGCATTAATTGATTGGACAGAAGTACTCGGTCTCAGGTTGACATGTTGGTTCTTTGTGCGGATGCTTCAACGATTTGTGAAGATTTAACCTGAAGTAATTTGGTGGATACTGACTAGTTATGGAATACAGGACGCGCATTTCGTCCTTTTCGGGACTCATCGGAGACAGAGAACTTCTGTCAAATCAATCAATGGGAAAGTCTAAAGTGAATTAAGCAATAACTGACACCATTGCATATGAAGTAACTTTCGTGATCCAAGTGGTTTAGTGGATAAATTACATAGAATGATCTTAATTACTGAGAATCTTGACTTTTGCGTGCAATTACGGATCAAAAGTGTAGTAGCGATAAAAATAGACTGGAAGTGTGGATAAAAAACATTAATGCAGATGAGAATTAAAAAATAGTGTCAAACTAAGAGGAATAAACAGGAAGATTCAATAAGAAAGGATAATAGGATAACCATTATTTGCTAGGACTGATATTTTACATGCTCATGGTAAGGACAACTGTTGGACGTATTTCTTTTGAGTACATAGCGTGGGCTTGAACTTTTAGATCACTAGCGCCTTAGCTATTCCCAAGGGTTTCCATTTCTCTCGCTCTGAAATGTTTGATAGGATCTTGTATATGACTTTGAAGGGTTCTTCGAATGGAGCTAAATATCTTGAATTTACCAAATGTACTGTTACTGAACTGTACACACACACACACACACCTTCGTATTCTTCCTTCGCTAACGATGGTGGATGACGTTCCCCAGCGCGTTCTGACAGGAATCAAGAAGAAACATGGTAGATGATTGGCTCACACCTCAGATAAAACAATATTGGTTCATTTGATTACATTGCTGTTTATTGTATCACTTGAAGATTCTTTACAAGAAGTAAGTACGTTGTGATAAGAAACCTGCTGAGAATTCTGTATTGTGCATATGCACATTTTCTAGTATAAAGCTTATTATTATGAGTAATATGGTGAAAATATTCGTTCACACATCTATAAAAAAACAAAATAATTTTGCAAAGAATATCCTTTTCGATAATTTCCTTTTCTAGCTCTACAATTACATAGATATATATCTTTATATACATAGAATATTCTAGAATAGTAGTCGATAACAGTATTAGTGTTTTTAAATAATGTCGATTTGTTACGTAAAATTACGATAGAATTGCAGTTCATTGAAGATGCTTAAATTATAACAATACAAACAAAGTAGCAAATGAAATACCAACTGTCTGTCTGTTTTCGACATAGAACTTTGCACAAATGTGCGGAAGTTCAAGTCGCCACACTCCATGTAGCACGCGAAGCAAGAGAAGAAAGTACAAAAAGAGCATAAAAGAGACAGTGAGCAGAGGTGTGAGACAAAGGAGTAATAACGAAGAACAAAACAGTTTCATTGGTGGAGATCATATGTCACAAGGAGTGGATGCATCTGCGCTAGCCACTGAGAATGATTTTCAGCCATGTCACCAATTGTTTCCAACCATAGATTTCTACCGTCCCGAGGACCCCAGCCAGTCTGGAAGTCTACACCTTCCTACGTGGCTAGCTGGTTGGAAACTGTCACACGTTCGTCACTGATCACGATTATTGGCCATATCCGGTAACGTTTCAAGCAACCGATTCGAGCTACCTTCCGGACCCCAGCTAGGGAGTCACGACGTACCAACAGATGCTAACCTACCACAAATATAAGTCATCCCACGATGCCACGTCATGAACTGACCACCTCTCCACCTTTTCAATTCCGTCCTAGGGTTGGCGAACAGAGACCCTGTACGGAAGCCTCTGCGATGACATCCAAAGCACATCTACCAGCCGCCGGAGGCGGTGTTTCCACACGACGATACTCAGTGAATGGTGACCTCCACTGTGTTCAAACACAAGCCACCGGATCTCAGGATTACTTGCACGATGATGTCATAGACTGCAAGTAATTCTAAGGAGACAGCGATGATCGAATATGTATAGTCACAGCACACCTCGAGTGACTGAATAACCATTATTGAACATTTTTGGAAAGAATGCCTCATCAATAATTCTTAGTATCTGATCTATTGGACTTCATTGTCTGTCTTTGTCTGTCTGTTTTCGACATAGAACTTTGCACAAATGTGCAAGAGAAGAAAGTACAAGAAAAGCATAATAGAAACAGTGAGCAGAGGGGTGAGACAAAGGAGTAGTAATAACGAAGAACAAAACAGTTTCATTGGAGATCATAAGTCACAAGGAGTGGATGCATCTGCGCCACTGAGGACGATTTTGAGCCATGTCACCAATTGTTTCCAACCATAGATTTTTACCGTCCCGAGGGCCCCAGCCTGGAAGTCTACACCTTCCTACGTGGCTTAGACCAACTGTTGTGGATTTCATTGACTGGTGCCAAGTTTTGTTTGACCGCCGCTAGCTTTTTTCCAGCCTGACCCTATATCCGCTAACATAGCTCGTCGAGGGAGGCGATGGCTTGGCATACGCAACACATGTCCTAACCATCTAAGTCTTTTTAACTTCAACTATCAACTAAAATTAAGGAAATTTCTACAAAACACAGGATCATTCGAACCTAGATAGCCAAGGTAAGGACAATGTCTGAACTAGCTTCATTTGGACACATGAATTAGGCTTCTTAATGTGGATCCCCACAGCCTCAGCGGTGTGTAGTAGAAGAACTTTGAAGGCAAAGTTAAGATTTGTTGGTATGCGGTAAATGACCGTGAAAGAGGCCTCGTTGACATCAATCTTGTGTTGTGTATCCACAAGATGAGATAGAACAGTGCTGCGAATAGTTTTTGTTTGTTCTTTACTTAACCACGCAGGGTGATGTTGGGAAATCTGACGAAGAAATGCCAGTTATATAGGCCGTACAATTAGGCATGTTTCTCATCAGATTTCCAAATATCACCCTGCATGGTTAACAAACAAAATCTATTTGTAGCTCTATTCTATCTCATCTTGTGGATACAGAACACAAGATTGATGTTAACCAGGCGGCTTTCACAGTCATTTACCGCATACCAACAAATCTTAACTTCGCCTTCAAAGTTCTTCTACTACATATCACTGAGGTTGTGGGGATCCACATTAAGAAGCCTAATTCATGTGTCCGAATGAAGGTAGTTTAGAGATTATCCTTACCTTGGCTATCTAGGTGCGTCGGTGGCACAGTGGTTAGGACTCTCGCCGACCATGCACATGGTCCGGGGTTCGAGCCCGCACCGACGCACATCTGATATCTATGGTCGGCCTGCGAAATTTGGGCTACCGATATCCATGCTGAAAATTCCATACTTGTACCGAAAATACAGCGTGGAATCAAGCTGTAAATCAAAAAAAAAAAATAAAATAAATGATCCTCAGTGTTTTGTAGAAATTTCTTTAATTTTAGTTGATATTCTATTTGCTATTATATCTTTATTATTATTATAATTTAGGCATCTTTAATGAACTGTGGTAATTCCATTGATCTTACTTAACAAATTGATATTATTTTGATAAAAACACCAATATTGTTCATGACTACTATTCTAGAATATTCTATGTATATAAACATGCATATATAATTGTAAAGCCAGAAGGGGAAATTATTCAAAAGAAAATTCTTTGTTCAATTATTTTGTTAATTATGATAAAGTTGAAAACTCATGAATTTGATCACATTGATCAACTGAAATATTTTGATTACAGAGTTATTACAGAGTGTTATTGCCAACAGCAAAAAAAACAAACAAAAGAAACCACTTGAAATTTATACATTGACGAAATGTACACTGAGAGAAAGTGAATAAAGATTCGAAATGTTCAGAATTCTATGCTACATTGATTGATACAATTGATCATTGAACTGTTTTCAAAAAATACAAATAAACAAAATTCTTATTATTTTTCTTATTTTAAAATTGGACACTCTTCATGTATGCTTTGCAATGCTTTGCTTTTGTCTTGAATTTCTGTTTTTTGTCAAATCAAGTTAACAAAGAATTTACAGTGCACAGTTTAGCTGAGAAACGTTTACAAGCCAGAGTTGGTGATTATTATGAATGTCTGTCAGAGACTCAAATTATATTTGATACGGAGGATAACAATAACAGCACCAACAACAGTAAAACAATTGTTGATCAGCGTAATAGCCAGTCAAGTACCTTCAAACAGTCAGCTGAGAAAAATAATTTAAGGATAATTATGAGTTTGAAAAATGTCAAATCTCAGGCATTTGCTGATGTCAATGTTCCAGAATTCACTGGTGCAAGTAAGTGGGTTATTTATAATTAGCAAGTTTAAAAATAATAGCACGTTAAATAATCCACTGAAGTGATTTATTTTGCTTAATTCAGCATATTAGTTTCTTTTTTGAGAAATATCGCAATGATTTTCTTTGTCACTTTTTAGTATCATACGTTTTTGGGATTATTTCGTTCTGTGAGCTGAATAGATAGTTTGATTGGGGAACTTCACTGTCCTGTAAGACATCATTTTCGTTGCTAAGTTTATTTGCGTCGAGAGAGACAACCGAAGCCCAACAGTTAAACCATTCAGCCTAGGAAACATAACAACACCGAAAACATCCTGACTGACTGCGATTCAACATAGATATTTAACATAGAGCTGCAGCAGTTCAAGTTGCCACACTCCATATACCACACAATAGATGATGGAAGAGAGATAAAATAGGGATTCCAAAGAATTATAATAGGCAGAAAATTGAGGGACTGTCGCTGACCATGCACATGGTCCGGGGTTTGATACCCTACCCCCGACGCACACCTGATATCTATGGTCGGCCTGCAAAATTTGGGCTACCGATGTCACATGCTGAAAATTCCATACCTGTAGCGAAAAATACGGTGTGGAATCAAGCTGTAATCAAAAATAAAAAAATGAAAATAAAAAACATGTAAGAACATTATGGTTTGGTGGATATTGGAGATCACAAAGAGTAAATGCATCTGCTCCACTGAGAACCACTTTAAGCCTTTATACCAGTCGTCTCCATCAATTGGTTCTGACCGCCTTGAGGACCCTAGTGAGCCAGTCTAAACCTTCCTAGGTGGCTAACACTAACTGTTAAAGATTTTATGGACTGATTCCAAGTTTCAGTTTGACCACCACTAGCCGTTTTCCGATTTGATCCATTGTCAGGTGACATCACTCACCGCAGAAGGCGACTACTAGTCATGCGTAACACACGTCTAAGCTATTGCAGTCGACGTAATTCTACACCCTAATCGACTGATTTTCCCTACAACCAAATACTCTACGCTTACCCTCATTATTACTACTCACTTAACACTCGAGATCAAAAGCGTCCAAATAGGCTAAAAATCGTCTCCACGTTCCTTACTATGTTTTGATGTAGTACTTTACATAATTCAATCGTTCAATGAGTTTGAATAGATTATTTTCGTTGTTTGAATTGTTCCCCTTACTCCAATTGTTGTTATAATTATTTGTATTAGACAGTGGTTGGAATAATGGAATAATTATTAAGATAATGAAGTCATGATGAACGTTGCAGATTTTAATCTATTTCTACTATTATTTCTGTGATCTGAAGTTTTCTTAGTCATTGGAGGCATATTTTTACTGGGTGAGGTTGCTAGCACGCCTAGTAAACTAATTGATCTCACTGCTATATTAAACTTTCTACAGTTTGGTTTGTAAGGGTTAGTTATGTTTTTACGAGTTGATCACGAATTGATATCAGCTAGAGAACCATTGAAAACCAAAGAGTACTGGACAGCTGCTGTTCCATCCTAGTTTGGGAATCATCGGTAGTACGCACTCACTGGGATTCTAACTCAGGGCCTTCCAGTTACAAGGCAAGCTCGTATACCATTCAGCCACTGGGGCCTCGAATCCCAGTGGGTGCCAATGATTCACAAACTAGGATGAAACAGCAGCTGTCCAGTACTCCCTGGTTTTCAATGTTTCTCTAACTGATATCAATCCGTTATCAACTCGTAAAAATATATTAAACTTAATTTAATGAGAGCCCTTGAAAATCAAATGCCACATTGACTTGTTTATCCACAAGTGTTTCTGTAACAGAAGAAGGCAAGAAGCCTGATAATATACTTAATTATTGAGGAAAATCACACTATATTTATACATCTTTAGCCACATTTATTGTCGGTTAGGTCAACAGATAATAAACTGATCTGACTGGTTGTGGATTTCTTGAAAGTTGAAAATGGCTGTTGATTTTCTGAAGGTTACACTTTGAGGTTGTTTCCTGACCACAATACAGGCTAGATCCAGTTTGGAGAAATAAACGCTTCTACTTCTGTAGCCACTGGGATGAAATGCTATTTTCAATTTCGGCTACTTTCTATCATTCAGCGTTTTACATACTACTGGTCATTCGCACACACCACATTTTTAAACTACCCGAACAAATGAATGCATGACACAGAACAAATATATAGACAACACGAGAGAGAGGGAAATCAAGAGAAAGTATTTGTACTTAATGTGACGACTTGTTGAATCAATAAGTCTGTTTGTATGTTTTCGACATAGAACTTTACACCGATGTGCGGCAGTTAAAGTCGCCACACTCCATGTACCACACAAAGCAAGAGAAGAAGGTAGAAGAAATGCATAAGAGACATGGTAAACAGAGGTGTGATACAAATGAGTAGTAATATCAAAAAACAATATATGGAAATCATAAGTCACAAGGAGTGGATGCATCTGCGCTGTCATTGAAAACGATTTTGATCCATATCACCAATTGTTTACAACCATTGCTTTTTTCCATCCCGAGGACCCTAACCAGGAAGTCTACACTTTCCTACGTGGGTTAAACTAACTGTTGTATCTTTCATTGACTGGTGACATGTTTTTGTTTGACCTTCGCTAGCTGTTTTCCAGCCTGACCCTATGTCAGCTAACATTGTCCTTCGAGGAAGGCGATGACTAGGCATACGTAACACATGTCCTAACCATCTCCGTCGATGTAATTTCACATCCTCGTTGATTGGTTTCCCCTGGTTCCCTAGAACTCGACGCCTAACCTCAATATTACTCACCTTATTATGCCACCTCACACGGGAGATAGAGCACAGGCACCTATGATTAAACACAGTTAATCTTTTCATGTCTTCCACTCTCAATGGCCAGGTCTCACATCGATAAAGGAGGACGGAGCGGACTGATGAGCAGTACACCCTCCCTTTGGTCGATAGCCAGCTGGATATCACGTCTACGCCAGGGACGGCGTAAGCTGGCATATGAGAAACTAGCCCTCTGTATCCGTGGTGAGATTTCGTCAGAGATCAACCCGTCGGGGCTGATCGTTAAGTACATTAAGAGAAGAGTTCTATCTTTTGCTATTTTGAGGTTTGTATTTATATGAGAACGAAAATCAAATCTTGTTTTAATTTTAACTTATCAAAAAATGAGAAGACACAAAATAATAAATATCGTTTATACACGAAGTCCCCTTCATAAATTTGAATAGAGAATGAACGAACATTAGTGCGGAATAACATGGATCCATTTTCTTTCGTCGGTCCCCTACAACTGAGTGGAGTTTGCAGCCTTTAATAAAACAAGTTATAATACAGATTTTAACATACCTATGTTCATCACATAGGTATCAGTCCCCCCTAGTAAGGGTAGTTGTAAGAATGTCATTATAAGATAAATATAAGCACGACAATCTAAAGTAAATTATTACAATTTATATATACACATATATTATAATGATGTTTCTCGGGCAAATAAATTACGTGTATCTTTGAGAAAAATTACACTGGAGAGAACGCTAAGAAGAGCTTATTTTAAGTTATTTGAATTTGTAACAAAAGGTTTTCAATTGAAGAGAGAGAGAATAGTTTATACCTATGAATTATCAAACATCTGGTAGACGCATGTTGAAAGCTTTTAAGGTAGTTAACCGACCCCGACAGACTGACTGGCGACGAAATCTCAGCACGGATCCAAAAAGCTTGAGCTGCTTTCGCTAGCTTACACAATCGCTGGCATAGGCGTGACATCCGGCTATCAACCAAGGGACGTGTGTACTGCTCAGCAGTTCGCTCCGTCCTTCCCTATGGCTCTGAAACATGGCCAATACGAGTTGAAGACATGAAAAGGTTGACTGTTTTTGATCATAGATGTCTACGATCTCTTTCTCATGTTAGGTGGTTTAATAAGGTAAGTAATGTTGACGTTAGGCGTAGTGTTGGGCAGGCAAAGAGGGAAAATCAATCGATGAGGCTATAAAGTTACATAGATTGAGATGGCTAGGTCACGTGCTGCGCATGCCTAACCACCGCCTCCCCCGACGAGCATTACTAGCTGATATAGGTGCAGGTTGGAAAAGAGTAAGTGGTGGCCAAACAAAAACATGGCCTCATCAATCCATGAAATCCTTGACAGTTAAACTGAGTCAGGTAGGGAGATGCAGACTCCCGGGTTGGGGGCCTCGGGACTCTAGGAATCAATGGCTGGAGACAATAGGTGACATGGCTCAAAATCGTTGTCAATGGCGCAGATGTGTTCAGTCTCTGTAATCTTTCATATTCCTTTCTACGATTACCCATTCTGTTTCACTCTTATACTTGTCAGACTGTATTGATTCTCTTCACTCATCTTCTTGTCTATCTTTGTGTGCTATTTGGAACGTGGCAACTCGAACTGGTGCACTTCGGTGACAAGTTCTATGTTCAATCCAGACAGAAGTCTTCTTCAGTCTGCTTAGGCTGAACCCTGACCTATGTGCCTTGAAGGAATTCGTCATCGAACTTCAATAATCCTGATAACTCCCATCTTAATGATTGTTATTTCCGATTGTGCAACTTCTTCTCTCGACGTTTCGTTTGACTTTTATATTAGATTTAATTTGTAACTCTTCAAATTTTACTTATTTTATAATGTTATCATTTTATTGACGTTTAACATCCGAAAAGTTTATTTTTTTTCACCTGATGGGTTTTACTCAGTCTTTTTCTTTATTATATCTGCTTCGCATAGCTGTTATTGACATATCAACTGTATTATTATTTCGTTTGATTCCTAGAGGAACATAGGGCTTCAGCTGCGCGTCTCCATTGCGTTCCCTTCTCTGCTAGAGTTTTCACCTGGCTCCAAGTCTGCCCACAAGTTTTCATCTCCTCCTGACATGACCTTCTCCAAGTCACCCTTGAACTGACGACCAACTCGCCGCTTCCGTTTCTGGTAGGTTCCACTCGAGCGATAGCTTGTCTAGTGATGTCACTTGATGGTTTCCTCAGAGTATATCTA